GATATGGTTCGAGAAAGTCAAAAGGAGAAAGTACAAGGTTACTTATTTAGAGATCAATGTGGTGGACAAGGTGGGAGTGATGCTTTTTTAACCGAAGGCTTTAGTAGTTGGAATAAAACCGAGAGATTGACTACTCATGTGGGTCACATTAATAGTTTCCACAATAAAGCTGTTAAGAAGTGTGAGGACCTAATGAGACATGGTCAATCAATTGTCGCCGCCTTACATAAACAAAGTATTCAGAAGAATGAATATCGTATTCGGTTGAATGCTTCTGGTGATGCTGCTAGATTTTTGTTGAATGGTTCATTACCTTTTCCTGGTCACGGTGAGTCAGAAACGTCTCTTCATAGGGGAAATTTCTTGGAATTAATAAAATTAATCTGGGATCAAAATGAGGTTGTTGGTAAGGTTATATTAGAAAATGCTCCTGGGAATAATCTAATGGTGGCGCCAAGTATTCAAAAAGATATCGTTCACTGCTTTGCACAAGAGGTACTCAAACATATTTTCCAAGAAATTAGTGATGATGTGTTTTCCTTATTAGTTGACGAGTCGAGTGACATATCTAGAAAGGAACAAATGGCTGTGGTTTTGCGATATGTTACACATGGGATTGTTAAGGAAAGATTTATTGGTCTTGTACATGTAAAGGACACAAATGCTTTATCTCTTAAATTTGCGATTCAATTCTTATTTGTTGAACATGGTTTGAGTTTGAAAAAGGTTAGAGACCAAGGTTATGATGGAGCAAGCAATATGCGTGGCCAATTCAATGGTTTGAAAGCTTTAATCATGAGAGAAAATAGCTCAACATCTTATGTCCATTGTTTTGCTCACCAACTTCAGTTAGTTGTTGTGGCGGTTGCACCTAAACACATCGAGACTGGAACATTCTTTGACATGATAGCATCTTTGATGAATGTGGTTTGTGCTTCTTGTAAGCGAACAGATATGGTTCGAGAAAGTCAAAAGGAGAAAGTACAAGAAGCCATTGGTAGCGGTGAAACTGAAACAGGTAGTGGGTTAAATCAAGAGCTTTCTATTGGAAGACCTGGAGATACACGATGGGGTTCACACTACAAAACACTTAAGCGTTTGGTTGATTTGTTTCCATCCGTTATTGAGGGGCTTGAGTATGTTGAAGATGTGTGCGAGAATCCTTACAGCCAACGTCAAGCAAATGGTCTTCAAATATMTTTCCAATCATTTGATAGTGTGTTTTATTTGCACTTGATGTTGCATATTTTGGGGGTCACAGAATCATTGTCACAGGCTCTTCAGAAAAAAGATCAAGACATCTTGAATGCTGTTTCATTGGTGAAGTCAACCAAGCGACAGTTGCAACAATTTAGAGTTGATGGATTTTGTCGGCTTCTTGAGAAGATCTCTTCTTTTTGCGAAAAACACAACATCGGAACAGTTAACATGGAGGAAGTTTATGTCAATCCAAAAAATCGAAGACACAAGACAAATATCACATATCGACATTATTACGAGTACGAATGTTTTAACACGGTTATGGATATGCAAATTCAAGAGTTTGGTGACAGATTTGATGAGGTAAGTTCCGAATTGCTCACTTGTATGGCCGCATTAGATCCTCATTACTCATTTTGTGACTTTGACCCATCAAAATTACTAAGGTTGACAGAGTTTTATCCTGATGATTTTAGCAATGACGAAAGAACTACTCTTTAGCACCAACTTCAACTATACATTGACAATGTCCAACATGATGAATTATTTGCTAATTTGAAAGGTATATCCGAGCTCGGTAGAGTGATGATTGAAACAAGGAAACATCTCGTGTTTCCTTTGGTTTATCGATTATTGAAGCTTGCATTGGTTTTGCCTGTTGCAACCGCAACAGTTGAGAGATGTTTTTCTGTAATGAAGTTTGTGAAGCCAGTTTTGCGCAATCGAATTTGTGACATGTTTTGAATGCGTGTCATTTGTGCCGTAGAAAAAGAAGTACTTGCTAAGGTTACAAATCAAGATGTAATGACTCGGTTTCAAATGATGAAAACTCGTAGAAATCAACTTATGTAATCACGTATTATTAATTATAATGATTGATGTGTTGGTACATTGTTAGTTTAAGTGACCCCAGTGTATAAAATTCCTGGATCCGCCACTGTTAACGGCCAGTAAGAAGCTAGCAAAAGAGAATAGAGTACATTACGAGATGGGGTATGATGGGCCATGAAACCACAGACACAAACAACAATCAGGACTAAAAGCAAGTATACAAATAGTCCCAATATCGTCTTTCAAGTAATAAAAGTGGTACAAGTACCGGATATCGTCCACAGGGATCGTAGTAAAAGTTTAAAAGAAAGTAAGGTTAAGGAAATGATTTCAGAAGGCGAATTCGAAGACTTTAATTAGAACAGAGTTAACACAACTAAAAACAGGAGATAACATAATATAAAGCAAGCTAGGGTGTATGACTTTTAGGGTGAGAAATAAAAATTATTTTCAGTCGACCAATGCTATCAAAATGCTACAGCATGAAACCATGCTGACATATTGCTATAGCATGCAATCAGTAACAACTATTTTTACCAATTACTTTGAAGGTATTCCTCTCGGACTTCACCAATGCACTGATATTATAGCTTTCAACCCATATCTCTATGAGGTATCCAGACCAGTGAAAGTGACAAATGGTGTCTTCAAAGTATATGGACAAACAAATCTCTTTGTTAAAAAAATCACCCTCTCG